ACGGAGTGGAGCAAGTTCCGGTTTGCAGTATACGTAGCGTGACTGCTTGAGCCCTGTTCAATTTTGTATGTGGTAGTGAGAATCGCCTACGCCACAAGTAATAATTTGTGATGACGTAAGTGTATAAATTATCTTTATAGCCCCCGGAATGGTAGCGGGCGTTCGATCGGGTCTGACCGGCACGGCAAGAGAGTCCTCGTGCCCGGTCATTCGTCACCTCATTGAGGTTGACCCGAGTTTAGTCCACTTGTCCCACATGCGCAGGAAACCATGATCATAACAATTTTTACGAGGTTGTTACAGAAACTCTATGCTGACGCATGAAATACCAAATGACAATTTCATAAGATTCCTTGACCTCAAGCTGTATTTGTTGCCAGCAGGAGTACTCTGGAGCTACAAACCGCGAGAAAATAAACCGGTTCTTCCGTTCACGTCTGCTTGTTCAAAATTGGTAAAGCGTGCGGTGATAAATTCCCGTTTGCAAAATTCACTGAAGAAATCGTGCCACCACAAGCTTGATATAAGCTTTGGGCTCAAACTAAACGTTTGTTAGAATCTGGTTATCCCTTGCACCTGTTAACCGCCGTCGCCGAAAAAATAAGCAGGAAAGGAAGGGCAAAGGTCCGAGACCAGGCAGCTGGCTCTAAGGCAGCCAAGGTTGCTGTAGTGCCCTACATGCATGCCATTTCGCATAACTTGCGTAGGATAGCGAGAAAAGCTGGTGCGGACGTAGTGTTCTCTACTTTCGAACGATTACAAGGAACGTGCAAAAAGGTTAATGCAGACAGTAGCAGGAAATCAGATTGTAAAATGAAGCACTGGCGAAAATTCGTGAGTTGTTGTCGGGGCATTGTCTATTGCACTCCTTTGACTTGTGATTGAATGTACATAGGCCAACCCAGAAAGTGTGTGAACGAAAGACTAAGGGAACACAAGTACAACGTCGAAAAAACTGTATCTGGTCATTTGGCCCTTCATGTCCCTTCACTGTCAAAGGTGTGGTTGCGTCCCAGTGTTCCAAAAAACCCGTATTCTCTAAAGGGCACGTGACATAACTACGCGTGAAGTAGTTAAAGCCTACAAAATTGACAAAATGAAAGAAAAATGTGCGAGTGTAGCTTCCACAGCTTTGTCAGCTAATGAAAAGAAGTATCTACAATCTTCACTTTTTCGATGGCGAGTGCAATTTGTCGCAATCGGCGATGACGCGCGCATGAGCTGTGCTGCATCGTATCTTGCTCGTTTTAAGGTTTTATCGGTCTGTTATTGTATAAATAGCATGTGTTATTGCAAATAAAACATTAATTGCAAGTTAGCACTGTGTGTGTGTCTCTCTGTCTCTTTTATCCTTGTCTTGGTGTGCTATAACCATATAAATGGTGAACCCCAACCAACTAGCTGGGCAACGTGCCTTAGCGAATGTTTGCTATCCAACAATAGCTTGAGGTTTAAAAGCTATAGACAAGTCCTCTGTGGGTACCTAGGTAGTGAACCTAAGTCTGCGTTTATAATTTTTAAAAACACTAAGCACATCTTCACAATAAGAACGTTCAACTTCATATGAGACTTCTTTGGCACACACACTCATCTAAGTACAACCATCATCTTAAAATCTAAAAAGTAATTGGGGGGTGTATAGGAGGATAAGTGCTTAGAAGATAATGCTGAATTTTCTTTTATAAACAATGCAGGCATGTTCGTTGAGAACTTTTAGCACATTTAGAATTTCATCTTTACGCCACTTTTTTTTTTTTTTTTTTCTACGACAGCATGGAATCTGTACAGGTTCCAGTGTCGCCCCAGTTCTCTACGATATATTTTTAGCTGATGTACAGAGGACATGGGATAACTCTTCAAGAGGGGGGAAGGTTTTAAAGATATTTAGATACGTTGAAAATTTTTTAATTCTTTTCGACAAACGGGCACCCTATACACCCTTCAATTACTTCAGATTTTCAAAAAGATGGTTGTACTTCAATGAGTGTGTGTGCCAAAGAGGTCTCGTATGAAGTTGAGTGTTCCGGTTGTGAGGATGTGCTTAGCGTTTTAAAGATTACGGACGTGGACTTAGGCTCACTACCGAGGTACTCACAGAGACTTGTCTACAGTTTTTAGACCTCAAGCTATTGTAGGATAGCTAAGACTTTTGTTGGTATTACCATCTTCGAGTGAAAAAGGAGCTGTTGCCATAAGATTCTGTGCACTCTAAAATAGTCAAAAAAGGAATTGCTTCACTTTGCCTAGAATCCTCGTTGACTAAGTCACGGCCACACTGCATGCGTACTAGTTTTGATGATCAGATCAGCCAATTGACGGCGGCGAGCTTACCTTGGTTGGCCTTAAACACGGTCACCGAATCGCTACTCCAGAAGATGAAACGTGGAACACCAAGGGATGGAGCTGCTTGGGATCCATCAGGTTCCAAGCTACAAGTGATGCCGTACGTGCACAAGCTCTCTCAGAACACTAAAAAGATCGCTGCTAGGCATGGCGTGGTTGTGGTCTTTTCTGCGCCGGATAAGCTCGCCAGGTTGTGTCCGCGCATTTGCAATGGCAAGACACGCAGTTGCCTGAAATAGCATGAGACCGCCTTCGTTAGATGTTCCACGGGAGTCGTATACTCCATTCCTTTATCCTGCGGTGACGTGTACATTGGCATAACTGAGAGATGCCTCAATGATCGTCTTACGGAGCACGCGCTAAAGGTCAAGAAAAACGAAGATAACTGTGCCCATCTTGTGTCACATATTGCCGCATGTGGGTGTGAACCACGATTCTCCGATACGAAGGTTCTTAGAAGAATCTCAAATATATTCGCACCTCTGCTGTTGGTATCATATTTTATAGAACAAAATAAGGGTATCTGTGTCAGCGAGCCGTCTTTGGTGTTGCATCAACAGGAAATATCTTTTATCGTGGCAAGGATTTAGCGATTCAAACTGGTTTATCTGCTTTTCATGTTGAAGTTTTTTTTTACTAGTTCCTTATTGTGTGGCGGCACTATTTACCTCACGTGCGGTTGGATTTCCACAGGCGCAGTTCTGTTAATTATTGCCTTTGCGCATTCATCTGTACATGTACAAGAAGGTCATAACGGGGCAATAAACCATTGGTAGCGAGCGCTGCGTGTCGTGTGCGTTACTTGGGTGGATGTGCAACTGCTTGTGCGAGTGTTTGCCAGAGTCAAAGTTGCGTTAAATTCTTACAATATAATTAACTGGTGTTGCCTCCATTTTTACCAGCATGTTATTTCAAAAGAAATAATTGTTTACTATGCGAAATTCTGTATGGAGCTTCCTCTAAAATAAATAGTATATCTACACCAAAGTTATGAGGAGTACATTCAATGAGAAATTTCGGCATATCGAGAGGAAAGGTCACACTAAGTGGAATATCTATGACATGAGTTATTTAAAAAGATTGCTGGCAAATATATTGTTTGGTTCATATCTTACACTGCATATAGTCTTGCAGGCAGGATGGGGGATTACTAAAGGAAGGATTCATTGACATAGGGAGGTTGGTGGGCAGCATAGAGAGCCCTTTGCCCACACTAGACGGTTTGAACTACAGATGTTTAGGTGATTCAGTCCGTCCCAAAATCACACATCTGAAATAGCTCTGTAATGAGAAAACAGCAAGAAGTGGCACACAGAAGCTATAGATTGAAAAAACCCACAAACAGGGTGCTCTTCCCAGCCTCCCTCCTCGTAGTTGTGCAGCAAGTCGAGTTGACAAGTGCCAACCAACTAGTGTGCAAGAAGTATTGCGTACACAGGGGCTGCTGTGTGCCTTCTCCAAGGCTAGAACTTATGATCATATCTGCCCACACAGTATGCCTCTAAAAACATGGTGTCAGTAGTAACGACACAAGAGAATGTCGGTAACCGAGCTCACATGCAGAGCATGGACTACCAACATATTTTTCCAATTGTCAATTGTGCGAGAAATGTTCTGGCTTAGAAGATGCAGCTAGTGAAAGCCCAATGCATTTCATCATGCCTTTGCTGCACCTCCCTTGCAAGAACCATCACTCCAGTAAATGTAGAATGTGATGCCATTACCATACTTCATGTAAACACATGTGTTCCATGCTCTTTTTCTTTCCTCCATGCACACACAAAAAAAGCTTACATTTCTTTATATAGTTATGTCTTGATTTTTTTAAAAATTCACATTGTAGCTCCTCGAATCATTTACACGGTCTTCAAAAACTCAAAACCGAACTTGCACACTTTTTTTGCAAAAGCCATTTCGAAGTTAATGTATATTATTTTAAATGTAGAAGCATAAAATTTTAGCAAGTCGCACAAATGCAACCATTTTAACCGTACAGTAACTTGGAATTGTCACAATTACTCCACACTTGCAGCTTCCAATTGTGATCGATAAATGCAACCTAGAAACGGCTGCTGTTAACATACTCCAGATTACATACAGCAATCTGTCAATTCGATGTTTCGCCTTATATTTAACAAACTTTAGCCTACTCATAGCTAAAAGCACATCCCAGTTTCCGAGAGCTAAAGCATTGCCCCAAATCGGTATGTCTGCCTCTTCTACAATCTATAACTTTGGTTCCATCCCTGACAATGCCTTTGCTCCCACTGTCTCGACAGTAGTATGGCCGGGCGAGGAAAAAAAAAAAAACGCATAATACATGCCACACGCGTTAACATGATTTTTCTTTTTTCCTCCATGGAACAGCTTGTCTCACGCAGAATTCAGTCATATCGTCACTTATTTTTCGCCAGTTTTGTTGCCAGTTCTTATCACGCGTTGAACATTTGTTACCATGGCGAAGTCAGCAAGACTCGGTTCATCGCCCCTCTGCACAGCCTACAATTACGTTTTTTTTCCCCTTTAAATAGAACTAAATGTTGGCCCACTTTTGCGCTGTTTACCGTGCTACTCTCCCGTAACCAGCGACGTTTCGCAAATGAAGATAAACACGGTACTGGCGTGATCCGAATTCACTCGAACTGCTACAGACTGACCTTGTTGAGGTCTTCCTTGAGGGCGTCCACAAAACGGTCGTGGTAGTCGGCCAGGAATCGGTCCATGGCCTTGAGCTGCTCGACCCGATAGCTGGTGGGCCGGGTTTTGCCGAGCTTGAAGGACCGCCGCAGCTCGTCCATGCGCTGCGCACAAATCGTCACCCAACGCGGCCAGACAAGGCGGCAGAAAGAGAGTTACCTTCGAGTAGTTGCTGCCGGACATTTTTTCCTCACCTCCCCCAAGGCCGGCAGCTTTGTGGACAAAAAAAAAGGGGGGGGGGGGGGAATACTTAGTGCAGCAAACACGCCCCAAAAGTTTAAAGCAGCGGCCGTGCGAAGAAAGTGCCAACGCTAACCTAGATAGCGTTCTTTCTAGAGCGAAAGCAATCACAACAAGCACAACAGTCGCGTCACACACACGCATACGTACACATGGCGGTCAGCGCAAAATTTGCACCTCGCGGCGGTTGCCGACGACAACGCTGGATGACAAACACACGGGGCAGCCGGCGCACGCACAACCACACATCGGCCAACGCGCCAACACGATAGTGAGGAGGTGGCAACGACGCTCCTCAATTTGTATTTTTAATCAGCGCTCCCAAGGCGACGCAGCAGCGCCACGCTGAAACCTGGCGGGCGGTGTTCGTAACGTCGATGCGCACTGTGGTGGCCACCATAGTGACACGCTTGCGAAGTTGGCGTGCGGCGCTTGTAAACTTTCAGCGCTGTGCGCGAAATCAAGGCCGCGGAGTGACCTCCCGAAGCCCGAAGGCGAAAACTTGCTGTGCACGTGAGCGGAGCGAGTTAAAATGCCTGGTGCCGTTGCATCACTTCCCGCAGGCTGCTCAGGGGATATATATATATATATATATATATATATATATATATATATATATATATATATATATATATATATATATATATATATATATATATATATATAGTACTCGTAGGCGTGCCCACAGTGCTGTTCTGTATTAAGCTGAAGAATTCCCATTTTCGAGAGAAGATGGAAATTCCCTATTGAGGGCATTTCTTTTTTCCTTCCTGTATACGGTGACGAAATCTCAACATGTTTTCCTGCACATTAGTTTTAACATGTGCGCGTGGCCCTTCACACACACCACTTATGAATGGTTGTTTGTGACGTGTTTGCGACTACTGAAATCAACTGCTCCTGTACAACAAAAGCTGTAAGTACATCGCAAATAGTGTGCTTGGAGTCCACAACTAGGCACTATATCAGAAGTGAACTAGAAGAGGCTTCACGTAAATATCAAACTAATTACAAGAGCTAGATGCTTGCATGCTGCGTGCGCCATAACGTTTGCAGAAGCTGAAGGTGCACCCTGACCGCAGTAAATCGGTCGTCGTTACTCAATTTAACCATTCCCGAAACTCCCTGCCCTATCACAAATAACCCTTTTTTTTTCTCTTTCGCCTACAGCGAGCGGTGGCTGAAAATTCGCCGAAAAGGGGAAAATTCTCTGCACGGAACACTACTGCGTGCGCAGCAATTCCTATTGTGGAGGGGAGGAAAGGGGTTTTCCGCAGCGTCCCCTCCCCCCCCCCCCCCTCTACTAAAGGCTGATAGGCACAAATGCTTCTTGATTCATCACTCATCGAATAAAGCGCATGCGCACTTGGGAACCTGCAGATGACGGACACTTTTGCTTCTTGTTAAAAAATGCAACATCACGGCTAATGTTTATCGCGCCTACCCAGCTTTGCTCCTTTGTCTTACTACGCTATACGTTCTGGCGCTGCTGTCACAGCAGAAAATTAGAGAGCGTACACAAAGCTTTGCGTCAGGGGCGGCGACAGGATTTTTTTTTTTACGGAGGGGCGCGGGGATTGATGCACCCACGATATATGTACACGCTTATTCGTTCAGGGGTGCAGGAAGGCAGGTACGATTCCGAGCCTGAATGTCCAACCGAGACTTAATGTCTAACGAGCCTGAATGTCCATTGAAACGGAATGCCTATCAATCCTGAATGTCCAACCGAGACGGAATGTCCAACCGAGGCAGAATGTCCATCGAGACCATCGGCAGTTTCGTACGTCGGCCCAAAGACCATGCACCTGCGAAGAAAGCGCAAGGCACAGTGTGCCAAATCCCATGCGCCGACTTCCCCGCCTCGTACGTTGGGGAAACCGAGAACTTCCATGAAGGAATGCGGCAGCACAAGAATGACCTCCGTCAATGCAACAGCAAACAGAGCGCAATGTCACAGCACTGTGAACAGTTCGACCACCATACCAGTCCCGACGGTGCAATGTGGAGTTTTTTGCCATGTTTTGTACGCTTCCTGCATTCCTTCATATGCAAAAAGAGCGCGAAAACAGGTGCGAGAAACTTGACTCTTGTAAACGACTGTGCCGCCAAGCTTTTTGCAGTGTGGACTGCATGAACATATCAAGGGTGAGGGACTATCGAAAGTGCTTCGGCACTGCAAAGCTGACTATGAATAGAGAGGCGTTAAAAAAAAGAAAAATACAAAAATACGGGCGTTGCTATGTTGTGTCGGTATGACTGAACTGCAGATGTGTTGGGAAATTAGAGAATATCTCAAACGGTGACTCAAAAATTTAAAGAATGTCATTAAAGTTTAAACGCCCTTCTTATGGCCGAGACGTAACAGATTTCTTTGACCACAATAAAAGTTGAATAAATTTGTTTTTGCGAGTGATGAAGCGTCAAGTACGGCATGAACGCTGCGTTTCTCTACCCCATTCCTTCCTGAACCCTGCCCGCTACAACTTTCAATGTGCCCTACATAACGCAACCGCTATTTAATTTGCAGCAAATGGCATGACAAAATCTGATGTGATCTCTATCGATGCTACATTTTAAGAGAAATTAAATTTCGTTGATATGGTGCATAGGTATCGGAAATTATCAGCTTAAAATAATGCCCTCAAGAGGCGTTCACAATCGCCCGTTCTGTCTTTTTTGCTCTTGTAAATAACTTGTTTGGCGTTCATAACTTTCCCACTAACCACAATTACTCATAGAAAACCCGAAGTGGCATTTGAGGACACAAACAGTTCAATCCAACAGATAGAGGTGGGGCGCTCCATGCTCGCGAATCTTGCATGCTGTTTGTCACCTTTTAAGCAACATGAACGATGAAGCCACACCATTTCACTCATTTTTTTTCACTGATTCGGTACATACTGTAAAATGTAAATCACGAAGTCCCGTAAGGGGGCCTGGAGTTGCACATGTGTCAAAACATGCTGCACAACCCACATCCATGCCCTCGTATACAGCCATGTTTGAATATTTTGAACGTTACTGAGAGACACAATAATGGAAGTATCAAGAATTATTCAGTTTTTCCGCTTGTTAGTATCTTGCTTAGCTAGACGTTCTTTTCTCCTCTAGAAAAAAGGTTACGCGAGTTTCATAGCATACATAAATTGCTGTTTCTACTTCGTAATAGACTGTCATCGGTGTACTCTTTAAAAAGATCACCTACTAACAATAAAACCATCATTACATCACGAAAACTTACGGGTCTCCTGGAGAGGAACTCCAATAGGCCTCGTAAGAAATCCAAACTGAAATTTTGAAATCATTCCGCCATGAACGGAATTAGCTCCGTGACCAAATACACTAAAAAATGTGCTACAATTATATGTGCACCATAGATGTATTATTATTATTATTATTATTATTATTATTATTATTATTAATATTATTATTATTATTATTATTATTATTTATAGTTGTTGTTGTTGTTCCGAAGCAGTTCATCGTGTTTAACCTCTCGTTTAGAGTTACTGTATAGGCTCCCTAATGGTAGCATATGCACCTTTAACCAGTCTGTGTCATCCGGCAAGTTGTTTAAGGACTCGAAGATTGGCAAGGTATTTCCCGTATTCAAGGGCAGTTACGCACACTAACCCCGTAATTATCGACGCATTTCACTAACATGCAAATCATGCAAACTACTTGAACATATAGCTTCTCATATCTATGATCACCTTGAATCGAATAACTTTCTCCCCCTAATCAGCATGGCTTCAGAAAAGGCTACTCATGCGATACTCAGTTATTCAAATTCACCATCGACTTTGATATGAGCAGTAACGATCAAACCGATTGCCTCTTTTTCGACTTCGCGAAAGCTCTCGATACTGTTCCTCATTGTCGTTTAATCTCTACATTGTCTTCCGTCTGTATGGATTCACTAACCCTGTCTAGCTTGGATACGCAACTTCTTGTTTTCCCGTCAGCAATTCACGGTGGTTAACGACACTTCACCTAATATTTGCTATGTCCCGTCTGGGGTTCCCCAAGGCAGAGTACTGGGTCCATTACTCCTTTTAATATTACCACGCATGTTTCTTATTATTTTCCCTTTTGTTTCTTTCGTTTGTCGCCACAAGGCTTGTCGGGAATGCTCAGCGCAAACTGCACCTCATTGTTCGAGCATGTTTGCGATCATTGTATATCGTTCTGTTAAGATTGTGCGCAAGACGCGAACACTCGAGATTATTCCAGAGCTTGCGCGACCACTATAGTATAATAGCTCTAGAATATTTGACGGCACATGTATAAATGCCGACGCGCGTCATCTCTTGTAGTTGATCGACAACCGACGCTGTGTTCATCGCTATCAGTGCCTGCAGTATCTTGCTGTAATCTAACCCTCCTTTTACGTGACCACTAGTTCGGCCCAATAAACAGTTTAACCTATAAGCACCCAGTCTGCCTCCTTCGTCCATGTTACGACCCCGTAACAATATGCATTTAAAAAAAATTGCGTGCGCTGACCGCTGACCTTTGATCCTCAGTTAGGTTGTTCATGGATGATTGCGTCATCTACCGCAATATTCAATCTTTTGACTATCATTTCGTTCTCCAAAATGACCTTAATCTAACCTTCAGGTGGTGTGAAGAACAGCACAATGTGCCTTTACGCCTCTAAATCAAAGTTCATTAGAAAGCGTACTCACTCACTCATTCTCTACACTATTAAGAGTACTGCCCCCCGCCGTGGTGGTCTATAGTGGCTAATGTACTCGGCTGCTAACCTGCAGGTCGCGGGCTCAAATCCCGGCTGCGGCGGCTGCATTTCCGATGGGGGCGGAGATGTTGTAGGCCTGTGTCCTCAGATTTGGGTGCACGTTAAAGAACCCCAGGTGGTCGAAATTTCCGGAGCCCTTCACTACGGCGTCTCTCATAATCATATGGTGGTTTTGGGACATTAACCCACACCTATCAATCAATAAGAGTACTGCTGTTTCAGTCACACTATCGTACAAATATTTCGGTGCTCACCTTTCATCAGATTTATCTTGGACTACGCCCATAGCAGCTGTCTCTTCAAAAGCCTCCCAGTCTCTCGACTATCTTCGCAGCAACTTGCGCAACGCTCCTTCTAACGTACGCACATAATCATATCTAACTCAGGTTCGCCCACAACTTCAGTATGCATTATCGGCATGGTCACCACATCAAGATTACCTTGTGTGTATTTTGGAAGCCGTCCAGAATAAGACAGCGAGATTCATCGCTGGTAACTACGACTATCGTTCAAGCATCACCATAATAAAACACAACCTTGCATTTCTGT